TCATAGTCTGTCATAGTGAGGAGGTAACAGTGGGGCCCAGCAGCTCATGTCATGTCTGTCAGGAAGCAGAGAGAATGCCTATGGCTGGTGGGTCTTTCTTCTTTCCCCTGATTTATTATACCTGGGCTTTAGCCTATGGGATGGTGCTACCATATTCAGGATAGGTCATCCCCTTGTTTAGTATTCCTGTCCACAACTGGGTGGTGGTGGTGTATACCTTTAATCCTAGTACTTGGGAGGTAGAGGTGGGCAGATCTTTGAGTCTGAGGTCAGCTTGGCCTACAGAATGAATTCCAGTATAGTCTGGACTATATAGAAAAAAGCTCTTGTCTTAAAACAAACAAACAGCTGGGCAGTGGTGGCGCATGCCTTTAATTCCAGCACTTGGAGGCAGAGGCAGGTTGATTTCTGAGTTCGAGGCCAGCCTGGTCTACAGAGTGAGTTCCAGGACAGCCAGGACTACACAGAGAAACTCTTGTCTCGGAAAACCGAAAAACAAACAACACCAAAACACATACAACAACGAAAAAGGAAGAAGAAAAAGAAAAAAGTAAAAAAACAAAAGAAACACTCTTGCCAATACCTTCACAGACACACTGAGGAACATTTTTCAACCCAATCACACTGATAACCAAACATAACTATCCCAAGTTGGTATAAAATGAAACTGTGTTCTCCTCTCTAGTTTTGAACAAAAATTTCTAGAAGGATATGTTAAATTCCATTAGACATAGCAAACAGGCTATGGAAATGTCAATTTCATATGTATTAAAAACTAATAATACATTACTGGACATTTAGACTTGAATAGGCTTGACAATTCCCAGAGGAGCAGTAGGAAATGAGCCATGAGGTCCATAAAGAGAAACAGAATGAACTCCATGATCAAAGATGGAGAGTACAGCTCTCCAACACCCAAGTAAAAATATGGGTGCAGTCATATGCAGCAGATGTGCAGCTCGGTCTTCATGTGCATCCTCAACAACTGCAGTGGTGGCTGTCCCTAAAGCTGCTGCCTGTCTGTGGAATATGCTCCCCTAACTGGCCCCTTGTCTGACTCTGGTGGGAGAGGGTGCACCTAGCCCTGCAGAGACTTAATATGTGGGAGGTAGGGGGCGATACTCAGATGGGGTCTCCACCCTCTCAGAGGAGAAGGAGAGAGGGGATAGGGAGAGGGACTGCATGAGGCAGGGACTGGGAAGGGGACAGCAAAGTAAATAAATGTAAAGTGAATAAATAAATTAATAAATTAGAGCCAAAACAAACAAACAAACAAACAAACCAAAACAAAAACAAAAACAAAAAACCTGGGTTCAGTAGTGAGCACCTGTAATTCCAGTACTGGTTGGATAGTTAATTTACTTTTTAAAAAAGTCCTAAACTTGCAGATTTCTTGCTGTATTTGATGACACCAGTACAATCTACTGTAGTAATGTAGTCTAGTACTGTGTTTCTCAACCCATGAGTCATGACTCCTTGGTGGGGGGTGGGGGTCCAATGACTCTTTCACAGGGGTCATTTAAGACCATTGTAAAACACAGATATTTACATTATGATTCATGACAGTGGCAAAATTACAGTAATGAGGTAGCGCCAAAAATAATTTTATGGTTGGGGGTCACAATAACATGAGGAACAGTATAAAGGGTCACAGCATTAGGAAGGGTGAGAACCACTGGTCCAGGGGGATTCCAGTCATCCATTCAGGTCCTGCTTTAGAATATTTGAAGGAAAAAGTGACAACAGTCCAATTGTAGAAAGCAAAAGCAGTAACAGCTAGACCAGTGGTCAGAACTGAACAGTTTCCTAGGAGATGAATCTAAGCAACCGCAACACTAAAACACCACTGCAAAATCATAAAATACCACTGTAAAATAATAAAGTAGGATAGATTGCATTTGCAGTGTTCTCAGGTGAGTATCCTAGGGGCACAAGGAGATCTAGTCACTTAATACATAGTTCTGTATTGCTGAGAAGGGTGAGGCAGCTACAGAATTACATATGAAGTCCACAGGGCTCCAGAAGAGTGTATTGCCATTATAGACCTTCCCATTTGCCTCACCCAGGTAACATCCCTCTCCTCACTCAGTCAAGCACCAACAGGATTGAAAATTGCTCTGCAATAAAAGTGTGAGAAGAGGTCTCTGGCAACGAACATACTGGAACTCTCTCAGAGTAGCATGTGATTCCAGCCGTAACAAAATGGAAGGGAGAGGGCAGGTTGGAACTGGATCCGAGTCTGGCTGTCTTTGCCTTTAGCTTTATAGCCTTGGAAAGAAAATGACAAAGGGAAAATTGAGTTTTATCATCTATAAAATGGGGACAATAACATTCCCTGATGACAAATAACTGAGTCTAAATGAACTTCTTAATCAAGAAAGCATTACATATATTTAGCATAAAACTAAAATTAGTGTAATAACAGTGAAACTTTAATTGTCAGTGAATCGACAATTTGACATGCTTTAAGATCTCAGTTTATAGCTTTTCTTTGTGTAGGTTCACACTTTAAAGACTCGTCGTCGACATCATTTACTAGATTATTAGGACCACATAGACATACATATGTGACTCTCAGCAGAATAGCTATCTCTGCTTCCTCATCTGAATGACTAGCAAAAGAAGTCTTTAACCAAATAAAAGTTCAGCCTTAAAAATAGCCGGGAAGCTTTCTCAGATTCGCCAGCTAGGTTGAGATCCATAAGTGAGACTTCTTGTCAGCAGGAAAGGTGATCTGAAGAATGAACAAAAATAGCCCGTGTCCAACAGCTGTGATGTCTATAATTTATACGCTGAGATCATCTCTGATCGGATTGCCGTGTGTACACACAAGAAAGAGCTGGTCAGTTGTATGTTTACTAGGCCTCAGGAAACAAGTCTTGTGACACCCATTTCTTGGTTCACTCTTTACATACAAACAGCATGACTTGAGACTTCATGTTTGAGGACTGTGACTCTGAAACTCTATCGGCATGCACAGCGTCACAGATGTTTGACTAACCTTTAAGCATTTATCCCCAAATAGCAAATTATCAGTTTTCTTTGTGCTTCTAAATTATCTTTTTCATGGGGAAAAGTTGCAAATATTTATAATGTTTTGAAACATGTGTGGATGTGTTCAGGGAACTGCTAAATGGAAGTAATGTACGTATGAAGTTTCATATTCCTGTATAGGAAGCAAATAATCTTCAGGTATGGAAAGATCGGCTAACATTAAATAAAGCAAGGAGAGAGGGGGAACAGGGAGGAAGAGAAGCTTAATCATAAATTATTTGTCCACTCTTTTACTCTGCTCATGCTTTGGATTTCCTTTTACTATTTTATTTTTTTTACTTCCATCCTCAGTGTACTCGTTTCTTTAACCTGTGTTTTTACATCATTTCCCCCCCACAATTCCTTGATCCCTTCTATGCTTTGTCTATGTTCTGTATTTACCTGCACATGTAAATTATTTTCCTATTTCTTTTTCTTTTAGTATTTCTCCCTTGTCTAGTCTCTCCTTCATACACACACACACACACACACACACACACACACACACACACACAAGTGCTGAAATATACTTAGGGCTGTGTGATTTATTGGGAAATTTTGTTCAAATTAGTTAGAATCGAGAGCCCTGGAGAGGGTGTCTTTTTATCTCTGTAACACGATTGTCTATATAACTTGATGAAGAAAAGAAATAAAAGAGAGGACATAATTGCTCCTGGGTATGGTTTGTCATATGTCAACTTGACACAAGCTAGGGTTATCTGAAAGGAGAGAACCTCAATTGAGAAATATGCCTTCATGAGATCCAGCTGTCAGGCATTTTCTTAGTGATTGATGGGGAAGGGCCCATTGGAGGTGGTACCATCCCTGGGCTGGTGGTCCTGGGGTCTGTAGGAAAACAGGCTGAACCAGCCCCCCTCCCCACCATGAGACAGCCAGTAAGCAACCCCCCCCAAACCCCCATGGCCGCTGCATCAGCTCCTGCCTCCAGGTTCCATGCACTGTTTGAGTTCCTGTCCTGACTTCCTTCAATGATGAACAGTGCTTCGGAAGCATAAACAATAAATCTTGTCGTCCCCAACTTGCTTTTTGGTTATGGTGTTTTATCACAACAATAAAAACCTTAACTAACACAACGAAGAAGGCGTATTGTAGGTAAAATGAACATGCAGGCAGAAGCAGAAGCAGAAGCAGAGACATCTAGGAGAGTTCAGAGTGAACACGGACAGAGTGAGCAGGGCCATGTGAGGAGAGAGGGTGAGGAAAAGCAAGAGAGGAGCCAGGACTAAGAGGCATGGATGGCCTGGGCCGAGAGATTGGCACAGCCAAAATGGCTGAATTATCTAGGGACCAGAGGACCTGAGGGAAGGGGCAGCCCAGTCCCTGGGCTGGAGAGTTCAGGGTAGGGGTCGGGGTATGCCAGGCCGGAGGTCCCTATACCAGGTGGAGACTGAGGGATGCTGAGAGAACCTGGCGACCAGCATCACCTTTGATATGTTAATAATAGGCATCTCCGTTGGCAGTTTATCCGGGTTTTGAGACCTAACAATAACGTGACAAGGAACTACAAAATAAGCGTGAGTTCTAAAACAATGGGACGCCCTCTGAAGAGGGCATGAACTAGAACGTTCCCAGACAAACCAACCTTGACTAGGGGGAGCTTGCCAGGGGCTAGGGGAGGGTCGCCCTCCCCAGCGCCTGGCCCTCCTGTCCTGAGGCAAGTCTCACTGTCTACACCCCCTCACCCCCACTTCTCCTCAGATTCTCCTTCCATCTCGGTCGCGCTCAGATTCATCCCTTCCATCTTCACCGCCGTGGGCTTTCCTCCGGACGCCTCGGCTCTGCGCCCCCAGAGTGCGTCCACACGCGCCGGGCTGCGCTCACCCCACCGCGCCCCCGGCGTCCCCGTCCCGCCCCCCGGGCCCGCTGCACTGTGGGTAGGCGGCGGCGGCGGCGGCGGCGGCGGCGGCAGCGGCGCTCAGAGCCCGCGGCCGGGAGAGGCCGCGCGCCGAACATGGCTGAGAAGAAGCACGACGGGCGGGTGAAGATCGGACACTACGTGCTGGGGGACACCCTGGGAGTCGGCACCTTCGGCAAAGTGAAGAGTGAGTGCAGCGGCGCGGGCACGAGGCCGGGTGGCAGGTGGAGCGCCCGCGGGCGAGCCCGGGGCACAAGCACCTGGCGCGGGAGCCGGGGCGTGGGACCGAGGGGACCCGCGGTTATGGGGTGTGCCTTGGCGGGGGTGCCTGCGAGCGCCCTGTCTTTTCTCTACCCCTCAGCTCACTTGTCTGCAGAATTGGGCGACTGGCCCAGTCCGAAGGGCTCCGAAGCGTGAGGAGGATGGGGGAGTCACGGCGCCACGGGTTGGGAGTGGGTCTCCCACTGGTGCCAAGTGCTCTGCGTGGAGCCGCATCTGAGGTCTCACTTAATCCTTAACGTGGCGCGGTCAGGGTGCGGTCCTCACCTTAGAGGTGAGATAACGCGAGCTCCAAGGCTTCAGCGACACACCCAAGGTCACAGAGAATTGGCAGATTCAGGGTGAGGTCTAAGATGTCCTCCAATTTTGGCCTTGCTGATGAGGCCCCTGCCTTCCCCAGATTCTTCCCTGTCCCAGGCCTTTGATGGTGGAGTTGACTAGGGGCATGCCTAGAGTGGAGAGGTGGCGAGTCCCTCCGCTGGGTGTGTGAAAACGTTGGAATGCAGCTGGTTGGGCAGGGAATTTAGGGGAACCCCCAGCTATGCAGGTTGATTGGTTCAAGGAAGCCTTCTGGGGTCAGGGTCTGGGAGAAAATGTTCCTTGGTAATGGAATTTGGGTCCCCAAGAGGTCAGACTAGCTTAGGCAAGGGGTTTGTTTGTTGGGAAAAGGGATTGCTTTGGGGGTTTTGGAAAAAAACAGGTTACTTTTGAAATTTCAGACTGCACTTACTAGTTAAGTATTAAACTTTGCTTTGCTTTCTTATTAGTTAATAAGAGTCACATGGGATTTGATTACCCGTCCTTTTAACAGAACTACTGCTCTTGTTAAAAAAAAATACTTGGTAGCAAGTTAAAAATTAAAAGTGAAACATTAGCCTTTTGTTGTTGTTGAATAAGTATTGGGTAAGCAGTCTGGAAATTTTATGCTGAGCCTTTTTTTTCCCCCACATTTTGTCCTCCATTGAAGACTTGAATAGATGGGAGAGAATCATCATTTCTGCGAGGATTAGCTCCTCTTGGTATGTCTAATACCCGTTTGTACGATGAGGAAACACCGAGTGCTCTTACCACGTGCGAGGAACTGTTCCAGGCAACGGAGTTCTAGGAAAGAGCAAAACCTGAGCTTTCGGGGTGGGGGTGGGGGAGACAATCAGAATACCGGCCCCCCCCCCCCAAGACAATCAGAATACATGTGAAAAGTATAGGCTCCCTCCTATTGGGAAAGGAGAACAGGGGAAGGAAGGATGGGCACTTTTGTGAGGTTGGCAAATTATATTAAGGTGGCCTTACCGAGTGGGTATTTTTGTAAAGACCTAAAATGATTGTAAAGTTCTTTGAAGTCTTGTGAAGTAGGGATCTTGTAAGAATTGTTGGGTAGTCAGGAGATGATCCGGAGATGAGATGAATGTTGTTGACACCATCTTTGCTGAGAGCTGCTTTGCTGTGGCATTGCAAAGTTATGCAAACGGATGCTTTGCCATTTAGAGTAAGTTATATAACTTAGCCATATATGCATTCATGTTCTGCTAAGTGCTTTTGTTTGCTCTTGAAATATTTTTTATTGTGCTCTTTATGTAGAGTGGAGTACCTGATCTGATTCCTCAGACCATTGTCAAGGGATAATTTAAAGCTATTTGCTTATAGTCTCTGTCTGCTTCTAAACACCAGCTTTGTAAAATATAAATGGAACAGAAGGAACTATGATTTACAAGAAGAACCTTTTTCCCTTGGTAGGAGAAGCTTGGTAGGATGAGCTGTCTGGAGTTTTTCTGACATTGTTTGATCTTCCCTAAAGAGACACTGTGTGGTGTGATAGTTACTATTCATGTCAAATGCACACAAGGAAGAATCACCCAGGAAGGGAATCTTAATAAAGAATTACTTAGATCTAGTGTGCATATTGAAGTGGGAAGACCCCTCCATTCCGGGCAGCACAGTTCCCTGAGTTTGAGTCCTACACTGTGTAAGTATAGAGGGATGCTGAGTGTGAGCAGGCAAGCCTGCATGTGCTCTGTCTGTGCTGGTGACCGAGGATAACTCCAGCTTCCTGCCTTGACTTCCCTCAAACCGACGGGAGCCTGCAAAGCAGAGTTAAAATAAGCCCTTTCTTCCCTAAGCCACTTTGAGTCAGGGTGTTTTATGAGAGAAATTAAACTAGTTCATGAGGATTTGTAATCAATACTGCTGCAGTTGTTCAGTTAAGTCAAGGGACTGGTGAAACAAAGCATATGCTTTTTTTTTTTTTTGATCTTGCCTCGAGTTTATTTGTAAAAACAGCATAGGACACTGGTCATCTGCAAATAGTGTGTGGGTAGGTGTGTCACGGCAGTCCATCTGTCTTCACGTTGGCAGGAGCCTTTTCTATGGGGCCTTCACAGGGGCCTGGGACCTTTGGGAGCCTGGGCTGGGGCTGAAGCCTGGGCCTTAGCTGGAGCTTTGGCCTCTGCCTTGGTTTGAACCTTGGGCTTTGGTTGGCAGAGCCTATGACCCTTGGCCATGTAGCTTCGAATCCTCTTCCCAAGCTTGGGGTGAGCAATGAAAGCAAGGCGGCTGAGTTTGCGGCTGGGGCCCTTTAGCATCTTGGGCTTGATGGCCTGAGGCTTCACAAGGGCCTTGATGGCCTCTGCGTGTGCACTCACTGCCTTTGCATTGTTGGCCTGCTTCTTCAGGCCTTTCTTGTTGTGCTTCTTGGCAAAGCGCATGTTCCTCAAGAACTTGGGGTCAACCCCCTTAAGAGACTCGTATCTTTGTGACCGGGGTTTCTTGATGCCATTTCTGTGCCATTTTCGGGACTGGTTGTGTGTGGTGTGGTTCTTGGACTTGGCCATGTCTGCACGGTAACCCACGGCTTCCGCAGCGCCTGGGACCGGAAGCAAAGCATATGCATTTTAAGAATACATTTTAATTTGACAATTTCATACAATGTGCTTTTAGAGTCACCTCACTCTCTCTCCCCCTCCAACTCCTTTCATGCCCTCCCACCAAATCTCCATTCCAATTTCATCTCTCTCATTCATATATGTATATATGAATGAGAGAGATGAAATACGATATATATATATATGGATATATATATATGGATATGTATGTGCATGGGTATGGGGCCAACCACTGGAACACAGGCAATTTACTAGGGATCACATCTCTGAAGAAAACTAGCCCCTCTGCTCCCAGCCCATGAGCAGCTGTGAGCTGCCTAAGTAGCATCTCATCTAAGAGTGGGCCTTCTTGAGCTCCTCCCCTATCCAAGGCATATGTAGTTTTAAAAACATATATTGAGGTATGTTTAACATATTATAAAAGCCACTGATTTTAGGTGTACAGTTCAACAGTTTTTAGTAAGTACTTAGTAAAGTATCACAACCATCATCGTAGCTTAGCTGTAGAACATTTATTTTATCCATTTACAGTTAATCCCATTCCCACCCATAACCCTCGGATACCATTATCTATGCCTAATATGTATATGGAAAAAGATGAATTGGGATCATGAAGTATGGTGTCTCTATGTCTAGCATTTTGTTCTCGAGGTTCATATCTAGCATACCGTGTCACTGATTTGTTCCTTTTTATTGTTGTGTGATCTTCCATTGTATGTATGTGCTCCCTCCCCATACATTCTTAGCTGTGGATATTATCTTGCTATATAAGCTATTTCAAAGAGTGCCTCTATGAATATTCACATGCAGAGCTCTGCCTGTGAATGTGTGTGGTTTCCCTGAGAGAATACTTGGGAAAATAACTCAAAGGGAAGAAAGATACAGTTCAGCCAAGAGGTTTCAGTCTGTGATTACTTGTAACGGGACTTTCTTTGAGACCACCAGCTCCTGAGTAGTGACACCGAGATTTCCATTTATTATGAATGCTTAAGGGCTTATAGTTTAGGCTTGTTCCCATCTAGCTTGTAAATTAGCCCATTTATTCTAATCTAAGTTCTGCTATGTGGCTTGTTACAGTGTCTCAGTCTCTAGTTCCATGTCTTCTCTGCATCTGGCTAGAGAATTCTCGCTTGCCTGACTCTCCTTCCCCAGGGTTCTAGCTCCCTCCAAAGGGCTGTCTATCCTGTTTCACTATAGGCCATCAGCTCTTTATTAAAACCAATTAGAAGGTGAGAGAGAGTGTGTTTACAAAATAAGATGTAGCCATATGAATAACAATACCAAAGTCCAGTCTGCAGGCGTAGAATTCAGCATTTGAATAATAAAAGACAATCCTTACCCAGTGCACAATAATACTCTCCCAACAGTTACTTGATCAATTTGTCCTGAGTTGTAATGAGGCAGAACACTGTGGTAGGAAATATATGAAGCAAAGAGGCTTACCTCGGTAAAGATTGGCTCACCTCCTACTTTCTGCTACCACCCAGTATGGCCATCTTGCTGTGAACACAGCAGGGACCAGTCCCTTGTTGAAGGTGGAACCCAGTCCCCTCAGTAGTGGTCCAGTCCCCTAACTGGATTCTGATTCTTTAACACACAGAGCCTTTTGAGGAACAATTCATATCCAAACCTTAACTCTGGGAACACAAATCTTTTCACACCTTGGGTGAGTACTTGGCAGTGGAATTGCTGGTTCCTAACATAGTTTTATCTTTTTTTTTAACTTTTTGAGATGCTGACAAACTGTTTTCCAAAATGGTTATCTGTTTTATATCCCACCAACATTTCTCTCCATTTCTTTATCAACAGCGGTTATTATTTGACTTGTTACAGTTATTCCACTGGGCATGAAGTATCTCATTGAGGTTCTAACTTTGCATTTTACTAGTGACAGTGTTTTACTATTGAGCATGTTTTCATGTATTCTATCATACAGATATAAATTATATATATATGTATATATATGTATATATATATATATGTATGTATGTATGTTTTGGTTTTTTGAGATAAGGTCTCACTATGTAGA